CTGCTCCTGTTTCCAGATCACAGCGACACGACAGGACGTGCTGTGCGTGCCCCGTGCGGAGCTGTGAGACTGTAGTTTCCTGTCGTCTGTGCATCCCCGCAGCGGCCCGATGAGAAAAGAGGAACGGACCTCACGCGCCGCGCCCCTAAGACACGGCGGGACGGGGTTCCTTTGCCACAAGGCCCGTTGGCAAAGCCCTGCGTCTGCTCCGCCAGCGTGCCTCACGTGTGCCAGGAGAACACAGGCTCCGTCCGCGCTGCCAGACGAAGCAGTCACTACGGTGCCCCTCGCGCAGGGGAAGGCCGCATCAGAAATGCTTAAAAATGTTAAATGCTAACCATTTTGGATGGATAGCTTTTTGTTTTTGCTTACTTAGTCTTGAGAGACAGAGAGAGAGACAGAGAGAAAGAGAAAGCAAGTGAGCGGGGTAGGGGCAGAGAGGGGGACAGAGGATCCCAAAAGGGCTCTGTGCTCACAGCAGAGAGCCTGACGTGGGGCTCGAACTCAAGCCGTCAGATCATGACCTGAGCCAAAGTCCGATGCTTAACTGACTGAGCCACCCGGTGCCCCAGAAAAACTTAAACATTAAGAAAAAAAATTTTAACGTTTATTTTTGAGAGAGAGAAAGAGAAAGAGAGAATGAGAAAGTGAGCGGGGGAGGAGCAGAGAAAGAGAGAGACACAGAATTCAAAGCAGGCTCCAGGTGGGGCGCCTGGGTGGCTTAGTCGGTTAAGCGTCCGACTTTCGCTTAGGTCATGATCTCGCGGTTGTGGGTTCGAGCCCCGCGTCGGGCTCTGTGCTGCCTGCCAGCTCAGAGCCTGGAGCCTCTTTCGGTCTGTGACTCCCTCTCTCTCTGACCCTCCCCTGCTCACGCTGTCTCTCTCTCTCCTAGAAATAAATAAAACATAAAAACAAAAAAACAAAAAAAAACAAAGCAGGCTTCAGGCTCTGAGCTGTCAGCACAGAGCCCGATGTGGGGCCTGAACTCACAAACTGAGATCATGACCTGAGCTGAAGTCGGACGATTCACCAACTGAGCCACCCAGGTGAGCCAGAACTTAAACATTTTAAATGGAAAAATCTCCTGACAGGAGAATTTCTTCACAAAAATAAAAACTGAAAAGGAGACTTCAAGCAAAGCTGGCCTCCAAGTGGCCTGTTGGCCGGGGGGGGGGGGGGGGGGGGCAGTGACAGTTTTCCTCGGGAACCTGGCGGAGCTCAAACACCACCGACACAGCTCAGCTGCTGGGCCCGGAGGAGCTGGAAATGGCGACAAAGGAGTCTCTTGGAACAGCTCACACGGAACAACCACAGGTGAGTGTTTTTGGAGAAGCCGAGTGCAGATGAAGTCACTACAACACGCAGCAGAATCCGCTGCGACATGTCACAGCTGATGGCAGTGAAATCACGTGTGGAACAAAAAAACAACTTAATGGGACAAATTTCCATTGTTGTAAAAATGCAACGTTTAAAGCTAATGGTTAGTTTCTTTTTATTTTCATCAGCAGGTACATCGAGAGGTGTGCAAGGTTCCTCCCGCGTCACTGACCAGTAACGTCAACAGCGAACCTCCCGGACTCTTGGAGCCGTAACTGCCGTGTCACACGGCCGGCAGCTCGTCAAGGGTTAATGTGTTTTTGCAACTTCTTGAGCTCCGGGCCAAGACTGAAGTTTTCCTGAATGAGGAAAACAACTCTCAACCACTACTACTGGACACCGAATGGCTCTGGAAACTGGCCTTGGCTGAAATCTTGATGTTTCTTAATCAACTCAGCCTAAAACTCCAAGGCTGACCGGCACCGATCAGCAAAGTTTCCACCGCGGTAAGGTCGTTTCAGCGACAGCTTTGCTGGGATTAGAAATTCAAGCTGCTGCACACTCGTCCCCCTGCTGTTAGGAGTTAAAATGAAGTGAGATCCCCGTTCTCACACACATTTGCAGCGGGTCCATTTTCTGAGCTCAAACTACAGTTCAATAGCATTTTACAGACCCGAACGCAAACATGAAGCAGGTTTTCCTATTGCAAAACCCATACAGCCACACACTCGAAGAGGCTTTTCCTAACTGTCACCTGCAAGCGCTTAATCTACCAGGTAAGAGAATCTAACAGGAGTCTGTAAGTGCCTCCCGATGAGGACGGTACGAGCTTGTAGACCGGTCTCGGAATGTGGCGGCAGCTATCTGTGTAAAAAGACATTGCCCAAGACAAAACACATAAAACCTCATTACAGATCAGCACTAATAGGTTAGATGGACATCTGCAACAGGGTGGCTGGGCGGGGGCTGTGGCTCTGACACCCATTAGGTGAAATGTTATCCACCCCGAAGAATTCCATCCTTCTCATTAGCAGATCTGTATTCCAGAAAACCGAATTCCAGTGTCTTTACATTTCTAATTCCATCAGTAAGATCTGTGAAAATCTGCTCTTATTATATAAATACCTTTCTAATATCCTCTTCTTTGCCTCTTGGTCTACAGCATTTCCTCTCTGGGTCTTGTAAGCCCTGGTCTGAAGAGCCCTGCACTCCCAGCGCTGCTCCCCTTTGGGAACCCTGCTCAGCCACCCACGCAGATGCTAGGGCTCCCGGAGACTACTGGGTAACTTCGTAAGAGAAGCATTCAGCCGACATCAGGCAGCATCTGATGAGCAGAGGGAGTGAAAAAAGAAACTGGAGGGATACAGCTAACGGCCAGGAAGTGCTCTGTAAATTCCCGCAGCTAAGAAGAGTCTTTGTCAGCAAAGAAAAACAAAATTAAAAAAGAGAGAGAGAAAGAAAGAGAGGGAGACAGTCTAAAATGTCATCCTGAGAAATCTCTCTCACTTAACGATTTATGATGCCCACCACCTAAGAGTACCAGGTACAATGGAGAAGTCAAAACACCTTGCTCCTGGCATGATTAAATCTACTCACGGAGAAAAAATAGTCCTAAAAGAATTTAATGAGATATTCTAAGAGCTCACAAGGGAGTGGCCACAGAGGAACTGGAACAATACAGAAAGGTTTGACCAAAAAGGTAGAAAGAGAGTGGAGCCCTAGAAACGGGGGGATCAAATACAGAGGATAATAATAAAACTGTATGATGGGTAAAGGGGGTCAAAGGTACAGATTTCAAGTTATAAAATAAATAAGTCAGGAGATGTAAGGTACAGCACGGTGACTACAGTCAATAATCCTGTGTTACAGATTTCAATGTTGCTATGTAAGATCTTAAAAGTTCTCATTACAAGAAAAACATGTAACTGGTAACAAAAGTCAACTAAACTAACTATGGAGATCATTTCACTACATACGCAAATACCAAGTCACTATGTAGTACACCTGAAACTCACACGTTATGTCCCAATTATATCTCAATTTTTAACAGGCTCATATGTGTACTATTATAGAAACAGTTCCTGAAATCATTCTTGAAACTCTGGTGTCAGAGTAGAAAAGTGAAAGGCATATAAATGGTACAATTTACCAACAGACAATGGTCCAATAAACAGAAAAGAGACGTTCGGCCTCTAGAATAACCAGCTGGATTCAAGCCGGAGGTCTCCATGGATCTAAAACTAGTACCCTCCTCCTGTCACCACCAGCTCTGAACCTGCTGCTGAAAAAGGCAAAACGACAGCTCACATGTGTCACATGATCATCCATGTTGTAAACGGGCCTGAAGGTCGGTCGGACCACAGCTCATAACTACACGGTCCTGACCCTCTCAAATCTGAACCCTGGACTTGGGCTGAATTCTGCTTGCAGTCAGGTAGGCGGGAAGTGGAAGAGGCTTTACCCACAAGGTCAGATAGCCCCAGGCAGAGGAAGAGAAGGGCTGATCCCATGACACACCCCCTCCCCCTTAAAAAATTTTTTTTTTAAAAAGCCTTAGGAGGAAAGGTAGCCAGGTGAATGGATACGTGGGAGAGAAGCCTCTCCAGCAGGACTTTTACAGAAGAGCAGGGAGAAGAAGTTGGGGAAGTAAGAACCTTAAACATCAGGCTGGGGAGCGGGAGCTTCACTGTGTAAGCACAAAGACGGAGAGGGCCATTCACGAGGGGTGGAGGGGGAGGCAGCCCCGGGGTTCAGGAGCAGTGATGGGCACAACAGTCACTCTGTGTCTCCTGAGATGACGAAGCCTGAGTCATTATGCCCGTCTCCTCCTCAAGATACAATGGAGCAAATGAAAATGGACTAAAAGTATGTCACGTCCCCCAAAAGACCCCACTGGGCCATTTTCTGAAGTACCAACCAAGCACAAAGTCAGATATGCCAAGCCAACCTCTTGGTCTTTAATAAAAAATTTCAGGGGCACTCGGTGGCTCAGTCGGTTAAGTGTCCTACTTTGGCTCAGGTCAAGATCTAGTGGTTCGTGGGTTCAAGCCCCACGTCGGGCTCTGTGCTGACGCTAGCTCAGAGCCTAGAGCCCGTTTCAGATTCTGTGTCTCCCTCTCTCTCTGACCCTCCCCTGCTCATGCTGTCTCTGTCTGTCTCACTCTCTCTCAGAAATAAATAAAACATTAAGAAATAAAAAATTTCAGTAACGAGTTCCAAAATGATAGCAATCAGGACTCACCAGGAGTCAAGATGGCTGGATAAAAACCAGAGATGTCCTCTGGCTGGCGTAAAATAAAAACAAAATCATCTCAATCTCTCTCTCTCTCACTCTCTCTCTCTCTCTCTCACATGTGATGTGGACGCAGCAGCGGAGCCCCTCTGAGCAGTCTTCCTTTGAACACTACTCCAGTTGGCCAGGACTGGCTGCCCGTTGGGGGTCAGGGCGACCCCCCCAGAAACCAGGAACCCCGTGGGAACTGCACATTCCACATCCTCCCGGAGCAGACTGCGGGGCTGCTATTTAACTTCCTAAACACCCCCTTCCCACCGCCCAAATGCCGCGGAGCCATACTGTACCTGGCCCGGCCCTGGCTGCCCTAGGCTCCAGGGTGTCCCAACAGAACACTGCTCTCCTCGATGCAACTCACAGAAGGAACGCCTGATAATCTTAATGGTCTTACCTTTCAAACCAAGTTTAAAAATTAAAAGAAATGTTTTCTTCTCTGTGGCTCCTTGCCCATTACAGGTTATCCTGGTAACAGTTGTCTTCCAATTTACTGCATTAGCAGATTAGCAGGAGGAAAGCGGGGTGTGGGAGCGAAACAGAAGCTCTCCTACGAAGAAAAAAAGAGCATATGGTCATAGTGTGTTCTGTTTGGGTCTGATGACAGCTGTCATTAAAGGTACTATTTCAGGGTCCTGAGAACACCTCAGAAGACTTAAAAGTTCTAGTTAACTGAAATTTTTCTATGGGAAAACAGGGAAAAAGGCACCCTCAGGCCCTTGCCTCAGCTTTTAACCGACGCTAGACAATAACCCAGAACTAGACACCACAATATCACTATCAGTGAACAATAAGAAGAAATATATGTATTATCGTTATCTTATGAAAACATCAGTGATATTCTTATCCAACATGGGGCTAACGAATGACACCACACTTTAAAATACTAAACCAAGTTTTGGGGCGCCTGCGTCGCTCAGTTGGTTAAGTGTCTGACTCAGTTTTGGCTCAGGCCACGATCTCAGTTTCATGAGTTCCAGCCCCATGAAGGGCTCTGTGCTGACCGTGCAGAGCCTGCTTGGGATTCTCTCTCTCCCTCTTTCTCTCTCCCTCTCTCTCTGTCTCCCTCTCCGCCCCCCAACCCCCTCCCTGCTTATGCTGTCTCTGTCTCTCTCAAAATAAATGAATAAACTTAAAAATATAGTAATACATACTTAAATACTTAATGAAAATTCTAAAGCAGATTTTCAAAATATCTCCCTCTAAAAGCCTTCAAGTAGCCCCATGTAACACCTTTAAACATAACTGTTACCAGGAAACGTAAGCAGAATATCAAGGTCACTGAAGTACTGGCTGTGCAGCCAAATTCTAATGTCCATTCATCAAACACTACACATGAAGGACTATACACAGTCTTCTGAGGCACTTCATTTATAACCACCACTGCCGACAAACGACTCCAACTATGGACAATACGCTACTGAGAAATCCTGCAAGAACGTAGTCCACGAGGCATCTCACAAAAATTGCTGTTTGTGTGATACCTTTCTTCCAGAAAACTCACTACACTCGGGTCAATATTTTCCATCAAATAATAAATAGAAACAATGCTAACAGCTTGATAAAATGAATCAAAGAAAACAGTAACAAACCCAAGTTAGAATGAAAAGAATATAAGAATCTAATGAATTTATGTGCCCCACAGGATATGCGCGTGCACGCGTATGCACGCGCGCACACACACACTTGAGCATTTAATTTGAGTGGCTACAGGACACTCAAAACCAATCTGCAAACATTTTTTTTCCAGGAGCCAAGACCACCCACCTCTCCTGCTTGTGGGCGGATCGCAGGCTCCAGCAGAGTTGGACAACCTGCCGGCCCTGCCCCACGACCCCCCCCCCCAATCCAGGGAAGCCAAAAGAAAAAAAAAACACTGCCAAACGTACTTAGGAGCATTATGAACCTAAGTGCTCATTAAATAGGAACAAGCATGCTGAGACTTCACCCACTTTTCTGGAATACAGTCTTTGCATAATTGCTCCTACTCTCTTCACTTAGGCTGATGAGGAAAAAGAGTGGGTCTATAGGACTGACGGTAAGAAACACACTGGGCTATTCTAAGGTGTGAGAATACGAGAAACAAGACCAAAGGATGGGAGACGGAACAGACCAGTGTCCGAGTGCAGCTGCTGACCTCTGAGTAAAGAGCGTATACTGAATACGCGCTGAAATGCCCCTAGATCTACGGTAAAAAGACTACCTGGGCTGTTCTGCCTTGTTTTTTAAAGGCACAATCTACAAGGAGCAGGAGAAGGCAGCAGAATCGGAGGGATGCTGGAAGGGGGTGAAAGGAGTGCTGGTGGCAGAAGTTACTCCCTGAGCACTGAGACCCCTAAACATCCTCACCCTCTGTCCCGCCCCTGCCAGCCCAGGGAGGCAGCCGGGCCGGCACAGCTGGGGCCAGCTTGCCACCCTGACCACAGAGGGGCTGTGGGAGACGCAGGCACACCCCACCGCCCACCCCCGCCCCAGCCAGAAGCTCTCACTGGGCTGGAGCTAACGGGCCGTGAGAGAAAAAAAAGAACCTGAAAAACTGACACTGGCCACTTCCCAAAGGAGCGCTACTCGTCACTGTGCTGGAAAATTCGCAGCCAAAGCATCCCTCCCATGATGAGAGCCTCCAATCTATTACTGTTAAAAATGATCATTCAAAACAACAACAACAACAACAAAACAAAAACCTTTTTATCGCACACCTGCAGGACAGTTGCAAGGGCAGTACCAGAAACTCCCGCCGAGCCTTCCACTGGTCCCACAAATGACCACAGGGTCCCTTGTGCCTGAGCTCTCCCTGTCCGCAAACATCCCAAGTGCCTGAGAGCGGCTGCAGATCGCTGACCTTTCCGCCCAAGGCGCACTGTGGGTTTCCTAAGAACACGGATGCTAATTTACACCAGCAGAGTGTCAGTCAGGGACTTAACAGTGCCTGCTGACTGTGGATCACACAGTTCATTTTCTAATTCTGCCAACTGTTTTAGGAGGCCCTTCGCGGCAATCCTCCCTCACCCCCATTCCGGACCCTAGGTCACAACTCCCTCCTCTCCTCTCTGAAACAGCTCGGCACATTTCTTTGTCTTTCACTGTTTGACATTTATGAGGAATACGGGGTATGCATCTGGCAGGAATAAATGACGTTTTATTGTTCCCAAAGTATCACATAAAGAGGATGTCAATTTGTCCCTTTGTTGGCAATCACTCTGATCACCTGGTTAAGATGATACGTGCCAGATTGCTCCACTGTAAAATACCGTTTTCTCCCAAGTAATCAATTACTAAGTAATCTGTGGGAAGATATTTTGAGACTATGTTCTTAAAACATTCACTCAGTAGTTTTACTACCCACTGACAAGTTTTCTCTGAATCGACTGTTACTCTGACGGTTATAGTTGTGTTTTTTTTTGAAAGTCTACTATTCCTCCATCAGATGACATTCTAACTTCAGGAAAGTATGCCCCCTTCTCTCCACTCATCTTTATTTTGTTAACAGGGTGGACTCACAGATTCTTATTTTACTTATTAATGCCATTATCCACTCTGATGCTCAAGGTATCCCAGATTCAGGCCGTGAGAACCCCTTCAAGCAGACTCCAGTGTGCTTCCCATTCTTTCCGAGCACTTCCTTATTTCCTGGCATAACAACATGTTCCAGATTCATCTTGAAGGTTCTCTGCCCCAGCTCTGAAATCATCCATCTTCCAAGGAGCCCTGGTTCTTTTACTGGAGAATGTAATGCAGAAATGAAGATGTGAGAGCCAAGGACGAAGCTGGGAAAGATGAGGATTTCACAGAATCCACCTCTGTGTGCTATGTGTATGTCTCCCTGGCTTTCAAATACGAAGGCGCCAAAGATTGCCGGACATCGCAGGAAAGCCCCTATCATGAAAAGTCAAGGGCAAAACAAACAGATAAATATAAGCTGGAGTAAAGACTATACAAGAAAAGGAGAATATAAAAAAATAACTCATATCCTCAGATAGATAATACATCCATTAAAACAACAACAACAGGAAACTAGTTAAAAGGGCACAGAGAATAATTAACAGACTAATACAGAAGGAAAATGTTTTCTGACCCAGGAAATACTCAGCCAAACCATCAAGCAAGAGTCCCCAGAAAGAAACCCGAGTCAAAACACCCACCTCGTACACAAGTTACTCACAGACAACTACTGAGGAGGGGCTGCTCCGCTGACACAAGAGGGAGAGCTACAAAACTGACGGGGGGGGGCGCACAGGAACAAGAGGGTTGATGCAGGAGAGAGGCAGAAAAGAAGCCCTGGGATCCTGGAAGCTAACAGTTCTCTAACTGTGCTCCCAGCAGGGAGGGCAAGCAGGGTGGACGGGGGCAGGAAAGGGAGCCTCAGAAAGAGAAAGCTGATGGAATACCGGAACACGGAACTAAAAGTCTGAGTCTAAAATAGTGCATTAATAGCTTTAAAAAAAAAAGTGATGGGGGGCGGCGTCTGGGTGGCTCAGTTGGTTGAGCGTCCCACTCTTGATTTTGGCTCGGGTCATGATCACAGGGTCATGGGAGGCGTGGAGCCTGCTTAAGATTCTCTCCCTCCCCCTCTCCCCACTTCGGCCCCTCTCCACAGCCCATGTGCGCGCGCGCTCTCTCTCTCTCTCTCTCAAAATAAAAAAGTGATGAGTGCCTGACTGGCTCAGTTGGTACAGCATGCAACTCTTGATCTCAGGGTTGTGAGTTTGAGTCCCACATTGGGTGGAGAGATTAGGTATAAACAAACAAACATAAAATTTTGGAGGGGGAAGTGATACTATTTCTTGAAATACCAAAGTTTTTTAGGAAAGGAAAAACATTTGTAATTTACCACTTAGCATTAAATAGCACACAGGGTCATAATGATAAAACTAAATATTGATTTAACCAAAACAGCACTAAAATTATCACGGAAGAATGGTGAAGACAGACTCTGGGGAGGGGAGAAAAGAATTATTCCCTATCTTTTCCCAACAGGAAATCAAAAGATATGCTTAAAACCAAAAACAAAATCATACAAGTAGGCAGGTATGAATTCTTCAAAATATATTCTTCAGACAGACGGAGGTAAATATATTTTTTTTTAACTTTTTTTTAAAAAATATTTTTATTGGGGCGCCTGGGTGGCTTAGTCGGTTAAGCGTCCGACTTTCGCTTGGGTCATGATCTCGCGGTTCGTGGGTTCGAGCCCCGCGTCGGGCTCTGTGCTGACTGCCAGCTCAGAGCCTGGAGCCTGTTCCAGAGTCTGTGACTCCCTCTCTCTCTGACCCTCCCCTGCTCACGCTGTCTCTCCCTCTCTCCTAGAAAAAAAAAAATAAAATAAAATAAAAATTAAAAAATAAACAAATATTAAAAAAAATTTAAAGATACACAGACGATGGTGGAATCATCCACGAGGATGATGAAAGGTCCTTCCTGCTCAAAAAGGGGCAGCTCTCCCCAGGTGTTTAATGTACAGGAAACCCTGAGTTTTACGTCATTAGCTAAAGGACAAAGTTGAAAGATGGGCCTGGCCGAAGAGCTCTCCCAGCACAGGGAGAGTGGGAGCGC